CGTTTCTGAACGTTTATTCTATTATGATGGTTCAAAGCAGCCTTACGTTTCCGTAAGATTCAAGACGAAGAGGGCACAGAGGAATTAGTTTTCAACGCTTTCATATCTTAGTATGCCAATATATATTTTCCAGCAATATACTTGTGTTAATATGAAGACGGTTTTATGTGAATTTCTTCTACTTTTCAGTCTTTCAGCTATCGACATTGCAGCCGCAACAGTGCATACGAATCTTTCACAGATTTTGAAGCCAGCGTCTACTCAAGGTCAGGCGGTTTCTCCCAGAACTTTCGCCCCAGCGGAACTGTCACAGGTTGAAGAGCTACTGCGGGTCCTTCTATCAGCTCAGGTTTGTTGCATTGTTGCCACCAGTATTGTTATACGTAGAGGGTTTGTAAAACTGCGGTATTGCGTATTGTATCAATTGTTTTCTTTCAAGGAAGACCGTTACCTTGTTTACAAACGTGTTTTGATCTGTTGGCCAAGTCCATTTAAAAAGTTAGTGGGTTGTTAAGCCAAAACGATGAGTCACATCAAATCATGGTTTCTCGGGATGCCTTCGTCCTATCAACTTGCACTCAACTTAATTCAGTCATATTGAAATGTTTTAGATTTTACTATACACGTACGGTGAAGGAGCAGAATTAACAAACCCCAAACATTTTTATGACGGCTGTGTGGCCTTAAACCGAATATTTATCTTTCTGCTGTTCGTTTTACAATCAGAGAAGATTAGCCTGTGCTAACCTGTATTTTATTCTTTCTTACTTTCTTCATCGTAAATAACTTTCTTTTATCTGGATATTCAAAAAATCAATGGCCATTAAAACTGTTCTGCTTTTAGCTGCTTTCGCTCGTCCTCTATTCCTAATATTTGTCTCCAAATTCTCTTAAATACTGGGTCAACGTTTGCTAGCAACAGATGGATGAAGCCGATCTTGTGCGCGCAAAATAACTTGCTGCAAGCTCCGAGCTTGGTATGGTCATTGGCCACCTAACAGCTTGCATGTTTATGTGCTTTCTCTATCTCTCACCTCCTCCCCCTGGTCCGTCTTCAAAAGCTCTCACTGCCGCATAACCAGCTGTCTACTCTTAAATTGCAGGAAGCTGCCAACAGACATTTAGATGAAATAAAGTCTGCCGGTGTACTTGACTGTGCAGCCGACACCGAAGAATGCTTTTTGGCCAAAAAGAAGGCTCTACTAAAGACAGCCAATTTGCCACCCTCGGAAACAGACTCAGCCTTTGTGGTGGAACAATTCCTTATCGAGCGTCTCCTCTTGCGGACCCGAGCGGAACACGAGGCCGTTTGTTTGGCTACTGAAAGACAGGCGGAACTACTTCGGGTAAAGGCCGAACTGGCTCAACTGTATAAAATGGTCAGTCATTTGGCAACTTGTGTACTTTCGGATTTTTGTTTCTGCTTACTCTTTCGATAACGCAGATTTATGGTTTAATCATTTAGAAGGACAACTCGCATCAAAATGGAAGTTCTCAGACAACCGCCAATGCACCCGTCGTCCCGCCAATGACCGCAAGTGCTGGGGACGAAGCTGGTGTCTCTGCGACTGCCAACGAGCCTTTCCCTCAGTGGCAATCTGAATGCATGTGTCCTCAGGCCCCAATCGGTTCCTTTGAAAATGTCAGTACCCCTCTTCTACGCTTGACCTTAAGCTGCATTTCGGCCGCCTTTTGCCAATAATTTATTCCATTTACCTTCGGTTTTATGGATTTAATTCATATATGTAGTATTATATACTATAAATATTCAGGGCTAAAATAAGATGTTGTTTCTTATATCCTTTTATGATGGTTCGAAAGAAGAACGAAGCATACGAGGATGCTCGTTGCTGAACGTTGACCTGACCGCTAACGGGACTCATCTGTCCGGCCCTGCCTTGGGCCCCGCCAGAGGTCCTCAGCCCTAATAGTTTGTAGTATAGGCAGGTATTATTGCCGACAAGGACAAGGGAGGCTGAAATGGCCATTTCTTGCTTATTAGCCGTCGTCAGCCCGACCCAAGTGGTGCCCCCCACTCGAGCTTTGAACTCGCGACATTCTTTCGATTAGAGTCAAAC